GCACTTGGTAGCCATCCTGCGCCCTTCTTCGACAGAGAAAGCTCCAGCTCGTCGGCATCATGACCTTTGAAGGCGTTTGGTTTCTTCGCCTTCAAAGGTTAAAAGGAAATAATTTTTCATTCGTACGTAAGCGGACATTTAGGTGTGTTACAAATATTTCCAGTCAATGATGACGCCACGTCGAAACTAATCCTTAAGGTACGTTTATCAATTATAGTTTGAACGTTAAGCGGTTCTACAACTACTAATATCGAAAAGTCGAAGCTCTCGCTCTAACGTGGTCGAGAGGTTGCGTCGTTGAAATCGCTACTGTCCCGAAAGAAGGTTCCAGGAATGTTCTCGGTGGTAAATTACGGTAAGGAAAAAACTGCCGGTGTAATGTTCTAATGTCGTGTCGTCGTGCTGCACAAGAAACACTCCCGACATGTCATTGATCCGTTCCGGTGATACAATTTCTACTTCTGTTGACGTTCTATCCAGTATCTTTGCTGTCAACTTGAACAAACATCAGCAGCTTTTTTCTTAATCGAGGAGCTCCACACCACACGCCATCAACTCTGTAAAACACTGGCATTTGAAAGTTTGCGCCAGCTTTGATCACCACACCACTACGCATGATTAAACACTCTTCATACTCGACGTCAGCTCCGACCGTACGATCCGGAGAAATGACAGCGCGATTAGCATCACGAAAGTCACAGAAACTTCGATACGCACTTGAATAGTCTTCTAGTTGCGCTTGAAGCTCGTTTACAACCGTTGTGATCTGTTGACTCAAGTTTATTACTAGAGTTTGCCGTCGGTGAGTTTGCATTGCACGCTCCTTCTCCGACTGTATTGCTTGATCGCAGTTCGTCCTGTTTGGCTTTTAGCTCAAACGCGGTCTTTTCTCCACGAAATGCTTGTACTTCTTCTTGCAGCCCTAGAACCTGCTTGCGCAATCTTTTTAATGCGTCATCCTTAGCATGCAACACTGCCGAGATCTTGGTAACAGCTACTGACTCTTTTTCACTCTTTGCAGTAACCAGGTCTCGAACTTCTTGCAGCTCATCTCGACACGCATCCAGCGCTCTTGTGAGTAATGCAATCTCTGTCGTAGCGTCATTAAGCGCGGATCTAAGCTGCGATACTTCATTATTACTACCGTCGCTTTTCACTTGTTTTATCAACCTTAGAGTTCCTTCGCCGTTTTGAGCAGTTCGAGTGCTTTTAAGCTCGGAAATCAAACGACTTATTTCTTCCATCGCAACTGCTAGCTCCAATTCCAATTTTCTACTTTGTTGCTCAAGCACAACCATTTTGTCAGCGTTAGCTGCTTTAGTCGTGACGAATCGCTAGTTAACTCCACTCTTGCATCCTCGAGCTGCTGTCATAGTGCAGTTTCTGACGCACTTAAATCCGCCTATTCTTTCGCATTACCAACCACAATCTTCGAATCAGCTGACGGCACATCAGTAGAAGCAATCGAGTGCGCGTTTTCTTCACTAGGTAAAGCATTATACGACGCTTTTAACTGCTGTTCTAACGCCTCAATCCGTCGACGTCGCTTGTCACACTCTACTTTACTTACTTCCAAAGCATCACGTGCCGTCTGCAAATCGTCCGTAGCAGTTTGAATCGCAGCTGTGGCCGCATTCAAACGCGTTTGGAGCGCTGTACGTTCTGCTTCCTTCACTCGCTTACTTTCATCTTCCATCTGCTGTTTTTGCGCCATTAGCTCCTCAATCTTAATCGTTAGCTCTGCATTCTTTGAGCTCAATCGTTCTTTCTCAACAATCAACCGCTGCGTCTCTTCTTTCAACTCAGCAATTATGCAGGATTTCTCCACTGCAAACTGGTTAAACTCAACCTGCATCATTTCCAAGGTCTCCTGCACCTGATTCAAGTGCATCTTGCTGGTTCGACGAGCTGCATCCGCTTGTTCTCGCTCTTCAGAACTCTTCTCTACTTGCTTTATAAGTACTTCGTTCTCTCTTCGCATACCATTCAGCAATTCGGCACGCTTTTCCATCTTCTTTAACGCTGTATGAGATCGCACACGATACCGCTCGAATTCATTTCGCACATTTTTAAGTTGTTGCTGTAGCTCCACAACTTCTTGTTGCTGTAATGTTTGCTGTTGCTGATCGTACAAGCTGGCAGACTGATTCTCGTCCTTTGTCTTTTCAATTATCACCTCCAAATCTTTTTTCTCTTTTCTTACATCTGCTATACATTCATTCAATGACTCAATCACTACCTCCAGCTCGTGTCTTGAATCTTCTGCTTTCTCAAATTGTTCTTGTATGCGCTGCTTCTCTTGCTCTAGTGTTTGGATCTTAATAGTATATGTTTCAATACCGTCTCGAAGCTGCTGAAGTTCATTAAGCCATTGTGCACAATTTGTATTCGCATCAGACAAAAGATCGTCGAAATTCGTGTCAGATTCTTTTTTGTTCTTCACTAGCTCATTATCGTCTCCATCTTTTGCAAACAATCGCCAATCTGACGATTGCACGAACTGATTAAACACAAACTCGTGCTTCTCACCCTGGCGACGAAGGTCGTTTAGCTGCATCTTCATTGTACGCAGCTGGTCGCGTAAACCTTCCACATTGGACAATACTGACACAATCGCACCGCACAAATCCGCTGCCTCTTGACACTGCCACATTCTATCAGTCAAAGTGCTCACTATATTGAGATTGTCTCCTAAACTCATCAATACAGTAGTCATCTCACACAATTCAATCCTCAATTGTACAAGGTACTATTCAGATTCTTCATTTGAATCTTGAGCTTCTTGCACTGTAATCGACCACATTTTCGCATCTGATCGTCCAATTGCAATCGTACATCTTTCAGTGTAGCTTCG